TGTATCTTACTGTGCGTTATTTTATAATGTTTTGAGATATTGCGACTCCGAAAGTGAAGTCCTCTTTTATAAATGTTTGTAAGACGTTGTTATCCAAAACCTTACAGAGAGAGAGAGTGATATATTTTCACTTCACTTTTCATGCAGTGATAGGAGTTCCCTATTTCCTCCTCTAAGTGACGCTGATGTCTAGTGAATCAGCGGCTGCGTCTATTGTGTGCATTTAATCGCAATTCTTTTTTTATCCCTTTGCCACTGCATTTTACATCAGGGGAACAGTAGACGTTGATTTCAGGGTTAAAAAACCTATATCGGAACGCTAATATCATTTAAAAGAAAACGAATCCCTGAGTTTTGTTCGCTTGAAGATTTTATGTTACAGGCCTACATGGATTTTAAAGACCTGCACCCAGAAATAGGAGTGCGATGGCGATCGAGGATGTGTCTTTTTCTTCTATCCTTTCTTCATCTGACAAAGGGTCAGGTACGGTACTCGATCCCAGAGGAGCTAAAAATTGGTTCTCTGGTTGGCAACATTGCTCAGGACCTTGGTTTTGATCTGAAGAGGCTCCGTTCTGGTCGGGCCCGCATCGTGACGGGAGAAAACATCCAGTACATCGAGCTGAGGGCAGATAAAGGGACTTTAATTGTGAATAAAAGAATCGACCGAGAGCAGCTCTGTGGAGATACCACACCATGCAGCTTTACCTTTGAGATTTTATTTGAAAATCCAATGGAGCTTCACCCAGTTACTATAGAGGTCCTGGACGTGAACGACAACGCTCCCATCTTCCAAAATAATCACTTGAAATTTGAAATCAGCGAATCTGTAGTTGTCGGCTCCCGTTTTAGATTAGAGAGCGCGGATGATGACGATGTCGGCCAGAATGGTTTGCAGAACTATATTTTAACTCCAAACGACAATTTTGTCTTAAAACAAAATGTTAATCCAGATGGAAGTAAATATGCTGAAATTGTGCTCCAGAAAGCCTTAGATAGAGAGGTACAGCCACACCTTTCTCTAACGCTGCTTGCTGTGGATGGCGGAACCCCGCAGAAATCTGGTACGGTATTAATAGATGTTAATATTCTCGATTTTAATGACAATGCTCCGGTGTTTAATCAAACAGTATATAAGGCTACAGTGGTCGAAAATGCACCAAAGGGTACTTACGTTATCACTGTTAATGCGAGTGACATTGACAGTGGTTTAAATGCAAAAATAACTTATTCTATTTCAAAATCAAAATCGGGAAAAGCTACTCTCTTTGATATAGATGATACTACAGGAACAATATATGTGACTAAAGAAATTGACTTTGAGAAGGACAAAAAAATAGAGTTCAGAGTTGAAGCTAAAGATCAAGGAGGACTCACAGATTCAAGCAAAGTTGAAATTGAGATTGTTGATGTAAACGATAACGCCCCTGTTATTAACATTATGTCATTCAATAGTCCAGTGGCAGAAGACTCACCTATCGGTACAACAATCGGTATCCTTAATGTTAAAGACTTGGATTCAGAAGAAAATGGGCAAATTAGATGCAGAATTGAAGGAAATGTTCCTTTTAAAATCAAGTCGAATGTCAGAAATTATTATGCTTTGACAACTGATGCTGAATTAGATCGAGAAACTGTTTCAGAATACAACATTACTCTTGTTTGTTCAGACCAAGGTTCAACTTCTCTTTCGACCAAAAAAATATTAAATCTAAAGCTATCAGACATTAATGACAATGCCCCTGTGTTTACAAAAAACATTTTTAGTGCTGTAGTTAAAGAAAACAACTCTCCAGGCGTTTCAATTTTAACTCTAAGTGCTCAAGATTCAGATGAAAACAGAAATGCTCAGGTTGCCTATATTTTGGAGGACAGAGATATCGGTGGGTCCCCGATTTCTGAATATATTTCAGTTAATTCACAAAGCGGCCTCATCCATGCCGTTCGCTCGTTTGATTATGAACAGATCAAGGATTTTGTTTTTGTAATTAGTGCACAGGATGGAGGTTCTCCTCCACTTCGTAATAACGTGACCGTAAAAATCCTCATCCAGGACCAAAATGATAACCCACCACAGATTCTTTACCCAGTCCAGACTGGTGGCTCTGTGATCGCTGAAATTGTACCTCGTTCAGCAGATGTGGGCTACCTGGTGACTAAAGTTGTGGCTGTTGATGTGGACTCTGGACAGAACGCCTGGCTCTCCTATAAACTGCAGAAAGCTACAGACAGGGCGCTGTTTGAAGTGGGTTTACAGAATGGAGAAATAAGAACCATCCGTCAGGTGACTGATAAAGATCCTGTGAAACAGAGACTGACTGTTATAGTAGAGGACAACGGGCAGCCCTCTCGTTCAGCTACGGTTGTTGTTAACGTGGCGGTGGCGGACAGCTTCCCTGAAGTGCTCTCGGAGTTCACTGATTTCATACACGACAAGGATTACAACAAAAACCTGACATTTTACCTAGTGTTGGCTCTATCTGTAGTCTCTTTCCTCTTTATTACATCTTTGGTGGTTATCATATCAGTGAAGATCTACAGATGGAGACAGTCTCGCATCCTGTATCACTCCAACCTCCCTGTGATTCCATATTATCCACCACGTTACTCGGATACTTTGAGAACAGGGACTCTGCCACCCATGTGCAATTACGAGTTGTGCAGGACAATTGATTCGAAAAACAGTGACAATAAGTTATGTAGGGATGGAAGTCAGAAGATGTTAATTATGGAACCCAGTTCTGCAGGGACGATGCAGCGGATGCATGCTGAGAAGAGCATCCTGGATGAACCTGACTCTCCTCTAGAGGTGAGTTATGATTTCATGCTTTCATGTTTTACCTTAAAGTGATATAGTTTTTGGCTCTTGAAATCATCCTACTCTACCATTCCTATAATAGCTAAGTGGTAAAGTGATTTAGAGACAGATTCCATAGAATGGGAAAGGGTATGGAATAACGTTTTCAGTGCATCAAAGAACCCCAATCACCAGTTGATTCATTTCAAGTTTTGTCATAGGGCATACTGGATGCCCATCGATAGGTTCCATGCGAAGCACACAAACAGCCTATGCTGTAGTCTATGCAATAAAGATATTCCAGGTACCTATAAACACATGGTTTGGGATTGTGAAGAGGTTAATTCTTTTTGGGAAAGGGTGCCTTTTAATCTATCTGAATTATTAGAATTAGAGATTCCATTACAACCAAGTTTGCTGTTAGTAAATGATGACTCAAAGTTTGAATGTACAGAGAAACAGCGAAAAGTGTTGCTCGCAGGCCTAACAGCAGCAAAAAAACTTCAGAGATGGCTCCCCCCACATGGGCTTCCTATTAAATAATGACTGTTATACTTTCAAGATGTTATAATGATGGAACTGTCTACTGGAAGAATCTATGCGGGAAGAGTATCAACCATACAAATGTGGGAAAGAACTGCAAAGGGAGTTTCAGACTTGCTGGCGAATCACGCACAATGAGATGTCTCACATGCTTTGTCCTTTTTATTTATGTATTTCTTTTATTTGTATTGGGTCATGTGATTTGTATCTAAGGTTGTGGTGGGGCAGGTGGGAATTAATCACTGACTTTGTAATGTTCCTGTTTTCCAGCTTGGGTATTTGTCCTTAAATAAAAAACACTGAATCAGAAAAAAAGTGATATAGTTTAAATTTAAAAATGTAAATATAACTCCTAAGGAAATATAAAAATGATAGCTTCATTAATTTAGGTATTTAAGCATAACTTAAAATATTAATCAGAGTGAGTAATGTGTCATTCCATTCTGCTGCATAACAATATATTTGAAAGAAACTTCTCATAGTAAAATGGCTGTTTCATGTTGTAAACGTCTTTTTTTAGTCCATGGAACAATATTAAAAATATGACGAAAGCGCTGCACCGCAAAAAAAGAAAAAAAAGAAAGAACAATCAAAATATCAAAATAAATGATAAAATCAAAGCAAAACAAGTGGTTTTTAATATTTTTTTATTCCATCTCGAGCAGCAGAAGAAACGTAAAAATCACTCCACCATTTGCACTTTGACCGGTGAGCTTCAAGGAGCAAGAATAATAATCAAATAGTAAAACCTAAAAATGTTAAATTAAAGTCAAAATAAATTAAGAAGCTATGCAGTGATATACCTGTTAGAAATTCACTGGAATAAAAAACGCAAAGTTTCAGACGTCTGAAAACACCTGTCCTACTTGTTATCAGGCATCCATTTAATCTGTTTGATAAATTGCACAAACTACCAGTGCCCCTGGGTAATTTAATGTTTAATTGCAAAGTTCTGTTTTATTTATCTGATTCTACAATTATTCATTGTCTATTTATTCAATAGTTTGATTTATTTAATTTCGCATTTTTTCAACGGTGATGGAAAAATATGTCCTTACTCAACATAAAAGAACTTTAAAAACCCGATTTTTTATGCTTATAGATATTTTTATCATTAAAATTATAAGAAAAATTAGCATGATTATTTGAATTACGTGTGAGAGAAATCGAAATCATGTTTTTCTTTTTTTAGTGCCCTTTAATCTGACAAATTATAAATGATTTCTAGTCTTTGAGAGTCTTTTGATGTTTCTCATTCAGACTCTAAGCGACGCTGTTGGTCAGTAAAAGATTTTATGTGCATTTTGTATCCAAGCCTGTCTTCATAATGGGCATGCAGAGGAGGAGGCTCTCTTTAGTTTGTTCTGAATTTAAACGGCTGGTTCTATCCTACTGACGAAAGAAGAACTGTTTTTTTCTTTGTTTCTTTTACCAAGACAAAGAATATAAAATTAAATTTTAAGCAACAGTAGAAGAAATATACCTTTGGACCGAATCTTTTTATTTTTCTCTTCAAATGATGGGAAATTTAAGACGCGTTTCTCTCCGGTGGATACAATGGCGACTATTTACCGTACTGCAACGGCAAATCGGACTGCTTGTTTTTCTGCTTCATTTTATTTACATTGTAGATGGACAGATTCGTTATTCTGTACCAGAGGAAATGAAGAAGGGCTCTGTCATAGGTAATGTGGCACAGGATCTTGGTTTGGATGTGAAAAGGCTCCGATCTGGACGCGCCCGTATCGTGACCGGAGAAAACGTTCAATACACCGAGCTGAATACAGACAAAGGGATCCTTCTTGTGAACGAAAGAATAGACCGGGAGCAGCTATGTGGGGACACCACACCATGCAGCTTTAGTTTTGAATTAATACTGGAAAATCCGATGGAACTGCACAGAATAACTGTAGAGGTTTTGGATATAAATGATCACGCTCCGGTATTTCCAAGCAAAGATAAATCAATCAGGTTTGAGGTAAGCGAATCAGCTGCCATAGGAGTGCAGTTTCCACTGCAGACCGCAGAGGATTTAGATGTAGGCCAAAACGCGTTGAAAGATTATGTTCTGTCACCAAATGACAACTTTATTCTTAAACAACATGTAAACCCAGACGGAAGTAAAAATATTGAAATGGTGCTGCAAAAGCCTTTAGATAGAGAACAACGTCCTAATCTGCATTTTAAACTAATCGCATTGGACGGAGGAACACCGCAGAGATCTGGATCGGTGAATATAGATGTGACTGTATTAGATGCTAACGACAATATTCCTGTTTTTAACCAATCGGTTTATAAAGCTTCTGTGGTAGAAAACACAATTAAAGGTACAAGTGTTATTACTGTGAATGCCACAGACGCTGACAGTGGATCAAACGGGTTAATCGCTTTTAGTTTGTCTAAAACAAAAGGAAGTGCTGCAGATATTTTTAGCATTGATAATAGTACGGGCACTATTTATGTGTTTGGTGAAATAGATTTTGAGAAACAGAAAAAATACGAGGTGCGAGTTGAGGCAAAAGATCAGGGTGGATTAATCGGGACAAGTAAAGTTATAGTTGATGTTGTTGATATCAATGATAATGCCCCAGTGATAAGTGTAATGTCTTTTTCCAGTCCAATATTAGAAAACGCCCCTGTTGGTACAACAGTCGCTATTTTGAACATAAAAGATGCTGATTCTGACAAAAATGGTCGAATTAAATGTTCATTAGAAGGAAACATTCCTTTTAGAATTGAATTATCTTTAACAAATTATTACAATTTAATATTGGATCAAGAGTTGGACAGAGAATCTGTCGCAGATTATAACATAACCATAAAAGCTACCGATTTTGGTTCTCCTCCTCTGACTACTTCGACAAAATTGCATCTTAAGGTATCGGATGTTAATGACAACGCTCCAGTGTTTGACAAAAGTAGCTATTCTGCCTACATCATGGAAAATAATCCACCGGGCTATTCCATATTTGCTGTTTGTTCGCGGGATTCTGACTGGAATCAAAACGCTAGAATATCTTATTTTTTAGAGGACACACAGGTCAATGGTAATCCAGTTTCTGCATATATATCTTTAAACGCTGAGACCGGAGTTCTGACAGCACTGCGATCGTTAGATTATGAGCAAATAAAAGAGTTTCAGCTTGTGGTCAAAGCGCAGGATGGAGGCTCTCCTCCACTCAGTAGTAATGTGACAGTGAAAATCCTGATCCAGGACCAAAACGATAACCCCCCACAGATTCTTTACCCAGTCCAGACCAGTGGCTCTATGGTGGCTGAAATGGTGCCTCGTTCAGCAGATGTGGGCTACCTGGTGACTAAAGTGGTGGCTGTTGATGTGGACTCTGGACAGAACGCCTGGCTCTCCTATAAACTGCAGAAAGCTACAGACAGGGCGCTGTTTGAAGTGGGCTTACAAAATGGAGAAATAAGAACAATCCGACAGGTGACTGATAAAGATGCTGTGAAACAGAGACTCACTGTTATAGTGGAGGACAACGGGCAGCCCTCCCGTTCAGCAACAGTTATTGTTAACGTGGCGGTGGCGGACAGCTTCCCTGAAGTGCTCTCAGATTTTACTGATTTTTCACAGAAGGAGTACAATGAAAACCTGACTTTTTACTTGGTGTTGGCCCTGGCTGTGGTCTCATTCCTATTCATTACGTGTTTGGTGGTTATTATATCAGTGAAGATCTACAGATGGAGACAGTCCCGCATCCTGTATCACTCCAACCTTCCTGTGATTCCTTATTATCCACCACGTTACTCAGACACTTTGGGAACAGGGACCCTACCACACGTGTACAATTACGAGGTGTGCAGGACGACTGACTCCAGAAAGAGTGACAATAAGTTCTGCGGAACCGGTAGTCAGAACGTGTTGATAATGGAGCCCAGTTCTACAGGGACAATGCAGCGGATGCACAATGAGAAGAACATCCTGGATGAACCAGACTCTCCTCTAGAGGTGAGTGCAGAGAGTTTCTTTTTGCCCTTTTGCCTAGTAATCTGTTATTCAGAAAAAACTGTACAAAACACAATTCCATTGTCACAGATTGGACAGTTTTATTTTATGATTAATTCACGCGCTCAATGCTGTGAAATACAGAATATGTGTAATGTACAGTTCAATGTGCCATACTGTACCGCATAACATGAAATGTATTGAAAGGTTGTGTTCGGAAAAATGGTTTTGACATGTTGTAAGCTTTTATTAAGCAAAAAAAGGGTAAAACTTATATTTATATGGCCCTATGCAAAGTTGCCAAAAATTTTGTTCCAAGCCAAACAATACAGAGGACAAACAAACAAAACATAAAAAAACGAGAAATACAATATAGGCGAACGCTAGTCTCTCTTAGAACTGATATAATTTATGTTTTTACTTTTTTCCTGCATTTTTTGCATTTATGAAATGAAACGTGACTGTCATTGAAGGGTCGCACTCTTTTCAGGACCATGGACAGCTACTAACAATGAAGCTCTCAATAATTTTTATAAGGAAATTCACATTCACTGCTTTGACAATGTGAATTACATGACTGTTTGCTGACCTTTTCCAGTTATATATATATTATTTATTTTTTTCTTAGATTGGACTGAAAGGACTAAGGCCTCCGTACATGGGTCATGCGTGCTAACTGCTGCGGCACCTGCACCCCCATGGACTGAGAGCAATCTGAGTGTTTTTTGCTGTTGGTCGTTTCTGGTAGTTTTAAGTTAATAGTCCAGTGTAAATCTTAATCTTAGTGTAACAAAGTTTAACTATTCTGTGGCTTGTCTGTAATATTCGAGTGGGCATTATGTGTTTTTAAAAGTTGTATCTTCTAAAACCACCAAACTTATTTCGCATGATACCGCGAATCTGCAATATTAAAGTCAGTCCACATGATTATTTATTGATTGATTGACTGCTTCAGGTATTCTAGCGGACAATGCCTTGTTACAAATTAAGACCTTTTTAAGGTTTGACTGCTCAGCACCTTCTGAATCTTTTGCTCCTACATATTTCCATTTGTTTACGATTAGTGCGTCTAACAGAAGCAGTAGTCTGAGCTCCACATTCCGCATTTTATTGTTAGTTCTTGTTAATTTTTTGTTACCGTGGGTTTTACATTTTAAATAGTAATAGAACGATTTTATGACATACTAATTATGATTCTTTCTGTATGAACAATATTTTTTTCATCTATAATCAGTGTCTAAATTCTTCTCATTACAAGTATCCGTTTGTATAACCTATTCTGTACTCTAAGTGACGCTGTTGGTCAACCTAACATTTAAGGCGCAACCTCTATACACATTCCCCTCCATGTATAATGCGTCATTTCAGAAAGAAGGGGATGCCTTTTTCAACCCAACCTTAACCGGGGAAAGAGATTGCCAATCGGATGCAGGAAGGATACCTGTATATCATTGTTTTTTTCCTCCTGTTATTAATTTCCTTTTAAAATACAGCTTTTTGGACTACTTTACATTATCCATTTCTTTTCAAAATCTTGTGGCTATGGTTCTGGAAATACCAAACCACATTCGATGGATAAAATGGCACGATGGCGTCGGACATATATTTTTCTTATACTTTGTTTCCCTGTGTTTATTCTGCCATTTTGTGGCCGGAAATATCAGGTATTCTATTCCAGAGGAAATGAAGAGAGGCTCTGTGATTGGTAATGTTGCGCAGGACCTCGGTTTGGATCTGAAAAAGCTCCGTTCTGGCCGTGCCCGTATCGTAAGTGAAGAGAGCGTCCAGTACGTTGAGCTGAAGGCAGACAAAGGGCTTTTGGTGGTGAAGGAAAGAATCGACCGGGAGCAGCTTTGCGGTGACACAACACCATGTAGTTTCAGTTTTGAGATGATTTTAGAAAATCCAATGGAGCTACATCAAATTACAGTCGAGATCAAAGATATAAATGACAATTCCCCGACGTTTAAAAGAAACAGCATGGATTTTGAAATAAGTGAAATCGCTACTACTGGCGCTCGTTTCTCGCTGATAAGTGCAGAAGATTTAGATGTGGGTGTGAACGGACTAAGAGAATATTTGTTGAGCGATAATGATAATTTTATTCTAAAACAGCATTCAAATGCGGATGGCAAGAAATATGCAGAGATGGTTCTGCAGACCCCATTAGACAGAGAAACAAACCCAAACCTGTCTTTAAAGCTGATCGCCGTGGACGGAGGAACGCCTCAGAGATCTGGTACCGTTAATATAAATATTTTGATTCTTGATGCTAATGACAATGCACCTATTTTCAACCAGTCTGTATATAAAGCGGTCGTCATGGAAATGTCTCCTAAAGACACGTACGTCACAACTGTTAATGCTAGTGACAAAGATTTTGGTTCAAACGGTATTGTAACATATTATTTTTCAGACCTCGACAGTGCTCTGGGTGAATTGTTTTTAATTGATGAAAATACAGGAATAATATCCGTTAAGGGCGATATTGATTATGAAAAGGATAAAAAGTACGAACTTAGAATTGATGCTAAGGATCATGGAGGACTGACTGATTCAAGTAAAGTAGTCATTGAAGTCATCGATGTAAATGATAATGCCCCTATTATAAACGTCATGTCCTTTACTAGCCCCCTGTCAGAGGATTCTCCTCCTGGAACAACTATTGGTATAATTAATGTAAAAGACCTAGATTCAGGTGATAATGGTAAGGTTAGCTGCACAATTGAAAGAAATGCTCCCTTTAAAATCAAGTCTAATCTAAAAAATTATTACACTCTGACAACAGATTCTGTATTAGATCGTGAAAGTGTGTCAGTATATAATATTACCGTATTTGCCACTGACAGTGGAGTACCTCCCCTGTCAGCTAAAATAAGTTTTAACTTAAGCATTTCTGATGTGAATGACAATGCACCAGCCTTTTTACAAAGTTTCTACACCGCTTAAATAAGAGAAAATAATTCCCCTGGTACCTCAGTTCTAACACTGTCAGCTAAAGATCCTGATGAGAAACAACACGCACGTATATCCTATACACTGGAACAAGCAACTGTTGCAGGATCCCCAATATCTGAGTATGTTTCCGTAAATGTACAAAATGGAGTAATTGATGCAATTAGGTCATTTGATTATGAACAAATTAAAGAGCTAGTTTTTATTGTTAAAGCACAGGATGGAGGCTCTCCTCCACTCAGCAGCAACGTGACTGTGAAAATCCAGATCCAGGACCAGAACGATAATCCCCCTCAGATTCTGTACCCTGTCCAGACAGGTGTCTCCATGGTGGCTGAAATGGTGCCTCGTTCAGCAGATGTGGGTTACCTGGTCGCTAAAGTAGTGGCTGTTGATGTGGACTCTGGACAGAACGCCTGGCTCTCCTACAAACTACAGAAAGCTGCAGAAAGAGCGCTGTTTGAAGTGGGCTTACAGAATGGAGAAATAAGAACAATGCGCCAGGTGACTGATAAAGATGCTGTGAAACAAAAACTGATCGTTATTGTAGAGGACAATGGGCAGCCCCCTCGATCAGCTTCAGTTTCTATTAATGTGGCAGTGGCAGACAGCTTTTCTGAAGTGCTCTCTGATTATCCTAATTTTCCACACGATAAGGAGTACAATGAGAACCTTACTTTTTACTTGGTGTTAGCTCTGGCTGTGGTCTCCTTCCTCTTCATCACATGTGTGGTTGTTATTGTATCAGTGAGGATCTACCGATGGAGACAGTCTCGGATCCTCTATCACTCCAACCTCCCAGTGATACCTTATTACCCACCACGTTACTCGGATACTTTGGGAACAGGGACTTTACCACACGTTTACAATTATGAGGTGTGCATGACAACTGACTCCAGAAAGAGTGATGCTAACTTCAGCAGAGCTGGTAGTCAGAACCTATTGAATATGGCCCCAAGTTCTACAGGGACAACTCAGCGGTTACAGAGTGAGAAGAGCATCCTGGATGAACTAGACTCTCCTGTTGAGGTGAGTGACAATACTGTTATTTTGCATTTGTACCTAAAGTTATCACTTTAAGAAGCATTAGTACAGAACATTATTGTATTGTAACAAACAGGATGTTTTTTTTTATTTAATTTAAATAGTACATATCTTTTATTAAGCTTTGAAAATATGTGGGAGATTAGACAGCAGTATGTCTTATCATTTTACTGCAGAATGAGAAGTAACATTTTTCAAGGGCAAAATGGTTTTGACATTATTTTATTTACTGTTTGTGTCTCCAGATCTAGCAACATAATATTTTCACTATATTCAAAGAATTTTTGAAAGCTCTTCAAAGCTTAATTAATTTAAAAATACACAGCCAAAATGTCACAGCTAAACAGGAAAATACCAGACCTATGTCCTCCAGCAATCTAAGCCTAAAGCAGCACAACTATAGAGATAACTAAGAATAACCTTAGCCACTATAAGTATAAGCTTTATCAAAAAGGAAAGTTTTAAGCCTTCCCCTAAAAGTAGAAAGGGTGTCTACCTCATGGAGTAAAACTAGTAGTTGGCTCCACAGGAGAGGAGCCTGATAACTAAACGATCTGCCTCCCATTCTACTTACAGAAATTCTTTGAACCACTGGTACACCTGCAGTTTGAGAGCAAATTGCTCTGTTAGGAACAAAAGGAAAAATCCTATCTCTGATGTAAGATGGAGCTTGGCCATTTAAGGCTTTATATGTGAGAAGGAGGATTTTAAATTCTATTCTGGATTTAACAGAAATCCAATGAAGAAAAGCTAGGATAGGAGAGATATATCTCTTTTTAAATTTCATCACAAATCTGGCTGCAGCATGTTGGATCAGCAGAAGGCTTTTAAATATAGTTTAGGACTTCCTGATAGTAAAGCATAACAATAGCCCAGCCTTGAAGTAACAAATGCAAGGACTAGTTTCTCAGCATCACCTCTGGACAGGATACTTCTACTTTTTGCAAAATCCTGCATATGAAAGGAAAATCTAGACATGTCTTTGATATTGGATTTAAATAAGAGGTCCTGATCAAAAATACAATTTTTTTTCAACTTGATTATATGAGATTAATTGAATCCCATCTACATGAAGTGCCTGACTAATCAGCTTAATTTTGAAAGACTCTGATCCAAAAACTATACCTCCTGTTTTGCCTGCATTCATGAGCAGAAAGTTAAGGGTCATCCAGGTTTTTATGCCTTGAAGACATGCCTGTAGTCTGTCATGATCTTATCTAAAGCTCGGACCCAGATGCAGAGAAACCAATTCAGAGAGACCAGGGAAAAGGTTTAACGTGTTTTATTGAAGAAGTTAAACAGAGGGAGAAGTGTTGCTCTGAACACTGCTCAACCGGAACTGTAAAGTGAGGGGAAGATACAGTTCAGGCTCAGTGGGGAAATTGACTTGTGAACTTGAAGAGGATTTGGTTGCCGACTCACGCTTCCAGAGAAGTTGTTGAATCCTTGGCTCCTGTCTGTGTGCCGTGGTTCCAGTGTTTGTCTGATTCAGTGGAGGGCGGAACAGGATTTACCCAGAATGTGGTTGATTGTTGGTGAACGGAAAAACTGACTGCCATTCAGATTTCTTTCGGTACTTGAATGGGTCGTAATAGAGAATAATCCCTTTCTCGGTGAGAAGCTCAAACGATCTCTTGGCAAAAGTGGATCCAAAGCTCCTGTTTGAACCCCAGCTCAGTTTGAAGCTCAGTTGATCCTTCCAGGGAGTGAAGGTCCGAGAAACCCAGTTTGCAGGATGACTTCCTGCCAAGAGGCAAAGACAAAAAACAAAGTTAAACTCAGGTTGACTAAAACTCAGCTTGGCTATAGTACCCTAAACTGGCAAACACTCTGGTGTAGAAGTAGTGGCAGTCAGCAGCTTAAGAACACTCCATTTAACGAGGAAACCATCAGCAGGTGTGTGAGGAGGCGGACCAGAACCAGGCGCCTCCTGGTGGATGAAGAGAGACAAACACAGAAACACAAAAACAGGAGTCCTGACATAGTATATGTAATGGGTTAGCTTCGTGTGGCTTATAGATCAGATGAAAATGAGTATCATCAGCATTACAATGAAAATTAATCCCATGCTGTCTATTAATTGTACTGAATGTTGAAATGCTTTATATATAATAAAGAGAATTGGTCCTAGCACTGATCCCTACGGTACTTCACAAGTAACCCTGGACCAATAAACATGAAAAATGTAATAAAAACACATTCGAAAAAAATACAGCTTGGACCAACCCCATTCTCTTTTGTATAAGAATTTTTATAATCTTGTCATGGTTTAATTAAAGGTCTGACCCAAAATGCAGAAGTCCAAACAGAGATAGAGAGATGAAAAGTTTAACAGGTTTTATTGAAGAGATTAAGCATGGTGCAGTGTTGCTCCGAACTCTGCCCTGCCAGAACTGGAAGGTGAGGGGAAGACAGACTATTAGTTCAGGCTCAGTTGGAAATTTCATTCGTTGATTTGAAGAAAAGGATCTGGTTGTTGACTCACGTTTTCAGAGAAGTGAAGGATCTTTGACTCCAATCTGTGTGTTGGTTTTTCAGAGTTTGTCTTATTCGGTGGAGGGCAGAACAAGGTTTACCCAGAACTCGGACGGTGTAGGTGAACAGAGATGCTGATTGCCACTCAGATTTCCTGATGTACTTGAACGGGGCGTAGTGAAGATGATTCCCTTGCTCAGAGAGTAATTTCAACGTTCTGTCAAGTAGACTGGATCCAAACCTCCTGTTTGAATCCCCGGCTCAGTTTAAGGCTCAGTTGATCCCTCCTGGGAGTGGAGGTCTGAAAAGGTCCAGTTTGCAGGATGACTTCCTGCCGAGAGGCAAAGACAAAAAAAGAAAGTTAAAACTCAGGTAGACAAAAACTCAGTCTTACTCAGCAAAATCTCAGCTTGGCTAGAGTACCAAAAACTGGCAAAACACTCTGGCGTCGAGGTAGTGGCAACCAGCAGCTTAAGAGCACTCTGTTAACGAGTTAAAAGTCAGCAGGTGTGTGAGGAGGCGGACCGGAACCAGGTGCCTCCTGCTGGTGGAAGGGGACAACACAAAAGACAAACACACAGACTGAAGTCCTGACAAATCTGTTAATTCATTCTGTCAAAACATTCACCTTCCAGACACTTTGGTTTTTAGCCATTTAATGGCCAATATTAGGTGTCATCAGTCCAATAGGAAGATGCCTTCAGATTTTGCGTCCTACCTCCAAGGAGAATCAGTAGGTTGTCGTCACCCAGTAAATCCTAACCCTAACGTAATAACTTGTTTGCCCACAGACATTGTCACTGAAGGCTTTAACTATTTTTTTTATCACCATGGATAGCTATTGAAATGGAAACAAAAAAATTCAACATATGTGGTCACTGTCACTGTTTCGAAAATGTGAATTGCACTACGGTGTATGTATGTTATGTGATGCTTATATTTTGAAATTTTATGAGTTTGGATTGAGAAATCTATGAATGCTTTACTTGAGTATAACAGGTTTTAGAATTATCTTTTTCAGTTGCGGGTCATTTAATTTACATTTAAGTTAAGTTGGTAAAACAAAATGTAACTTAATTAACTTTAAATGTTTGGGGCTTGTCTTTACTTTTTGAGGGCATTCTGTGATCTTATATATATATATATATATATATATATATATATATATATATATATATATATAACAAAAACA